TTAAAGGGGTAAATGCCATGTCCTGTCTCTCAAAACCAAGAGCTTTGAACAGTTCTGCAGCTTCTAAACCTCTCATACCTCCATCCTACAACTGTGAATGTAACTCAGGAATATAAAGAATTCCACTGAAAACAATAATACTGGACTTTAGTAAATTAAAAAAAAAAAAATCACTTAGCTTTAAGATTTCAAATATGGACAGTCTTATGTCTCAGGTCCCTGAATGCCAGTAGAAATCAACCCTTGGTTTAAAAGCTAATTATTAAATTTATATCCACACAATATTGAGCTGATGTTGATCAGTAGAAGGAAATTCCATTAAAAACTTCTCAATAGCATGCCTTCCTCAAGACTCTTTGATTGCTGAAATAATTTCCAGTTTGGGTACTTAATATACAACAGTTGAGGAAAAAGACAAAACTTCTTACCTCTACTGTCAGTTATATTAACTCAGACGTATTTATGAAACAAACATCTCTAAATTCTGAATAAATCTTTTAACACATTTTTTCTGTTGCATAAGAATAAAGTCATCATGTACCCTTCAGAAAAACATTTACAAGCTTTAAAGTGCAAATCAGGTCATCACAAACACACTACCTAATACCACATTCTTTACAGCTCAAGTCCATTCTCAGATTTCCATCCCATTCAACGCCTTCAACTACCTTTCTCTTGCCTTCTCCAATGTCGTAGTAGGAGAGTTATGGTCCACGGGAACTTAAAGGCTAAAACTTCTAAAAGGGAAACAAGACAATCAGACAAGCCATTCCCTTTATATTTCAAAGTCTACCTGCAGCTCTCTGCCTCCTTTGAAAAAATCTCAGCCAAAACTGACAAATCAATCTGAGCTGGAAGAGAAACTCAGAAAACAAGAAAACTCTGCAGGCAAATGAAGTGTGTGTGAACACATACCTTAGTGCAATTCAAGATGCACAAAGCTGAAGTCTTCGGCTTAGCTTTCCCACACCTATGTGGCAGCAATACAGCTAAGAACAATCACATTGCCTTACCACTTGTTTAGGCTGAGATGGATGTATGAGATTTCAAGCATTGTTTCAATGTTTAAAGTACCCGAGAATTATGCAGATGACATGATCGGAGAGGTTCATGAATATGTATGTATCTTAAATAAAATACATCAGCATGCTTCCAAAAAGTCCCCCTCTATGAATGAGGCTAAAAACAAAACCCTGAAGGCTGGGGAGTAATCATAACCCAGATATGACACTGCTGAGGTGGGGGGAGAAGAGTGCACAATACAAAGCTGGAATTAAAAAACTAAAGTAAGGAAATGCTTGGGCATTTCTCTTGTTTGCAAGTAGAGAAAATATGATCTACAATGCTTTTAAAATAAAAATGAGTAAATTATCAATCGAAAAGAGAATGAGCTTTCCAAAGAGAAAATGGAATTAATTAGATGCTACAGAACATTTGATAATGTTAAGTTTTTAGATGATAAAACACATTTAGCAAACTTGCAGCACTGTCAGAAACCTCCATTGCATCATGCTACCATAAATGTCTTAGAGATGGATATTACCTAATTGGAAGTGGGGGGAAAGAATGTTTCTTTCCTTATCTTTCTGTCTTTTCTTTGATCAAAAACTCTTCATAAAAATGCCACAATCATGATACAAACAATTTCTTACAGAAATCTTTTCAAGATTTATCAACAAATTGAAGTTCTCTAAGTTGGTTGGTCTAGAAGAAAGAGGATCTGTCACAGTCAAAATAGCATCTTGTTTATTCCGAGACAACTGAGAATAAATTCCTTAAAGATCAGTGAATAGAAAAGTAAGTGTTGGCTGGAAATTAATCTGCCCTACTGCACTGCAAATCATCTTCAACAATTAGACCGTTCCTCAGTGAAGTAGATCAGTACAGTCTTCTTTGGAACCCACAGATTACAAATGTGTCTTGGAACAGGTATGTCTATGGGATACGCTATTTGCATTTGTAGAAAAAAAAATCCTTATTAAAATACATGGAATAATTACAGGCTCCAGATAAAAGTAACAAGAACAGATTAAACCCTCTTGAGCTCCAAAAAAACCTGACAAGCTGGAACATCGAAAGAAAGAGAAAAGCGGGAACAAGCTCTAACAATAAGAACAGCACTCTTATACAGGAAAAGCCTGGTCCAATCCAAACAATTAAAGACAACCCTAACAAGTTAAAACTCTGTCATCATTACACAACAATAATAAATGACAGCTAGATCCCACATACTATATTCCCTGAATTTATGCAAACCAAGCTAAGATCATGATGTCTGAACAGCTCAAAACAGCAAGAAAGAAATTCACTACAGTACTGTAGTACAGTAAATGAAGAACTGTACTACTGTAGTACAGTAAATGAAGAACTGTACTACTGTAGTACAGTAAATGAAGAACTGTACTACTGTAGTACAGTAAATGAAGAACTCCGCAGCACTCAGACTCATCAGAAAGAAATGGCAAGCATTATTCTCTTCCCAGCATCTGTATCATTGCATGCGGGGTGACAAGACACCCCACTTACCAACTGCAAGGATAAGTGGCTTTAAGGAAGCATTCAACTACTTCAATTTGATTTTTAGATGGTACTAAAATAAAGCAATAGATAGTTTTTAAAGTCACCCAATAGTATGTAGAACATAAACAGATACTTCATATACTTCAATTTGGATCGTGAAAGATATTGCAGTCTTTATGCACAGCACCCTGTTGACCCCTGCTAAAAAGGCTTATACAACTACTCAAGGTTGACTACTTGCATGTACTGCAACAGCAGAACAAGACTGGTAAATTCCTACCTGTGATGTATTCAGACTGCAAATCTGTCTACACGACTGCCTTAATGGGGTGAACCTGGCAAAAAATATACTGTAAAGAAAGTAAAATATAGTCTAGAGACTGACATGATATAAGGTACAATCATCCCACAGATGTCCACGTAGATTCAAAACCTTACAATGAGACCCTGATTCAAAAATACAGACCTACCACTGCTCTGTGTCTCCCAACACATATTCTCCTCTCCTTAATTTTCTACCCTTCATCCTCTACCTTATTCCCTACCTTCATCACTGTAAATATGGACATCGTGTCCCACTTCCTCTTCATTTTTGCACCAGTGTACCTCCAGTTACCCTACCTTGGCACACTACTCGGAGTAATAGAGCTCTTTCACATCATCTGCCTGAGTGCATATTGCCTGTCACCTCCAGAGAATTTTTATTGGTCTAGTAATTACAGAGTGATTTGGCAGTGATGTTTGTTCACTCTAGGGAGGGTTTGGTTTTTTTGGGGTGGGGTTTGACATGGCTTGGGGTTTTTTGTTTGGTTGCTTTGTTTTTTAATTCATTAGCAGTCTGTTCCTCAATATGTGACTATGGTTTGCACATCAAGGATGAGATCCAAACCACTGTTAGTTCTACAGGTGTTCTTCCACTACAGTGACCTCAGGATTAGAAGTATTAAGATGGTGCCAAGGGAAGAGCTACAAACAACAGAGACTACACAACACAGCTCCCGGAAGAAGTTAGCATAAGGACTTACACTGAGCATGTACCTAGTCCTTTCCTACAGCCCTCTCATGTCCCTACCTCACTAGCACTACAATACTCAGCTGCTTCCCTACTCTTTAATATTCCCCCTACCTTCTTTGCTGCAATGGTCTCTTTGGTTCAATTTCTGACAAAGACAGAGCACATAAGCAGCAGAGATATGCTTGCACTGACTGATTTGTTAGGGTGACATCAAATACACTGTATGGCTATCAATGTTAGACTTGTATCTTCTTTCTCATTACAAGTAACCCCTTCCCGTGCCTGTCTGACAACTGGTAGGTCAAAGGGGTTTGTGACTTACTTGGCATCTCACATTTCTTATTTCTCAAACCAACCATCTTCACCATTACATTCCAAGTCTATTTTCTCAGAAAAATCTCTCCATACATTTCTAAAAACTGATACAAATTGCAGTACTCTACCAGCTCCTTTAACTTTTTAATCAATTTATAACACACAAATTAATACCACCTTATTGTCTGAATATACATTTTAAACGCTTCCCTAAGGCTAACACTCAAGGAACAGATTCTTTCTCCATAAGACACAGACCCTTTAAGTATGTCCTGAAGATTTTAGCACAAGATCCTGCATGCCTATGGTACTCGGCAGCTCAGTGTGCTGCCAAGTACACTCAAACCATTCAAGGGCAGTTACGCTGTTAAAAGGCAAGTGCATACAGAGAGGACTGTGCCAACAAGCATTTCCATGCCCAACTGTTGCACAGATACAGCCAATGCACCCTACTTCAGAAACAATATTGAAAAATTACAACGAAAAGGAAACAGTTCTGTAGAATTGCTATTGCCATTTTTTTAATAAGCTTTTCAGAGATACACATCAAAGCTATGTTCTTTCTACCATGATGAGCCATCTCCTATACAAACCAAGCACAAAAATATATTTTACTGGATTCAGATTTTTTGCTTCATAATGACAGTCCTACTGCTGATAATATCAGCATTACAGGCGCGACGCCAGTTGAGAATAAGGTGTTATTATAAGTGTTCATAACAGCATAATGATGTATATTCCAGGGTAATACTAGCTCTCACTGAAGCATCGATATTCTGTTATGAACACTTATGCATCTGAATGCTTCACAATACTCATGATCACAACAGGGGAATATTTAACATTTGGTAAACTGATGCAGAAGAAAGCAAATTCTCTGGTAAGAGAGGGAATTCAACTCCCAAAGTGCTGACACTAATCAGTGGACCATCCTTGTTTTCAGGACTGAAATGGGCAAAATGGATGAGAGGAGCAAGCACCTATCACAAACTGATACTTAAATTACACACAGAATTCAGGTCTCCTGAAATCCATTTTTTTGCCATATAGGTTACACCAGGTATTGTATTAATACACTTCTACTGAAATTAGTCTTGAAACAATATGTTTTCAAATAGAAATGGCTGATAATCAGGCAGAGTAGCCTCACCTGAATGAGATAGTGAGAACATAAACTGAGAAGCTCCAGCAGCTGCAAATGACTCCCAGCTGCTAGTACATCTTGTACCACCCCTGGTTCCAAGAGGATCTGTAAAGAAGGAAACAGAAAGTTTGTCACGTAGAACTCATGAGTACTTGTAGAAAACACTACAGGCCTTTGTTGTTTCAGACATTTAAGTCAACATAAAGATCAGAAAAAGTACAATTAAGCACATAGAGAAGTCTTTGCAGGATGGGGACAGAGTTTTTAAAGTTCACCTGAATTGCCCAAAGGATTTTTAATCAGCTTGTCCTGTGAGAGTCCATAAGCCACATTACCCCCTAAATCCTTTAAAACTAAATGCATGTTATTCATTTAAAAAAGAAGACTTTTCAAAATAACAGAACCTTTTGTTATCCGTATACCTGTATGCTTCCATATACACTGATGAATGAAGCCAACAGAATTGACTCATGTCTCCACTATTACTATTATTCATGGTTGTAAAATATATACAGGCTAGGAACACCCTTCCCATTCTGCATGGTACCACTTTATAATTTTCCTAACCACTGTCTTCATTTTACAGAGCAAGGCTGTGAAGGCACACAGTGAGCATGCTGCTGGGGAAGTGCCAGAAAGGGCTTAGAAACCAAGACTGATTATTCTGTCAGTTGCTCACATAAAACTCCTACTCATTTCAATTAAAATCACACACAGGCAGCAGCCAGGATAATTGGGCCTGAGCTCCTAGCCTGATGTCTTGGGGTCAGCTTGTTAGAGCATCCCTTTCAGGACACAAAAAAGTCTTTGGGAACACAGACACTGGTCAACTTCTTATCAGCAATCACATTACAAATTATCCACACTAATATTACTTAAATATAAGTGGTGTGACATCCAACAAAAATCAGAAATGCATGAGAAAAAAATAATTTTTCAAAGATACTCAGTTTATTCAGTTTTATCCTTGTTGTATTTCCCTGGCAACTTTGGTTTCACACCACATGAGGTCAGTCTCTCACTACTCCACAGGGAAGTAAAGCTTTTTTCAGATCCTTTTTCTTCTGCCCACACAATTTAGTTTTATCTCACAGCATCCTTTATATGTCTCAAATGCAGTGGAATAAGGATAATGGCAAACAGAAGGAAAGACACTCATCTGCATCTTTTGCAGTTAAACTAGTTTTGAGGGAAATGAAAAAAACATGTATGCATTTCTTCAAGCAAAACCACAAATCATCTTCAACATAATGGATGTATTAAGAGAAGTAGAGAAGGGGATTGATCCTTTTTATATCAAGAAGTCATTTATATTGAGATCTGTCAGCATATGACATGCTTAAAGCTTGTGCAAATCACTATATATATCTATTCATACTAGGTTTTAAGTGAACATATATGTCATTTACATACAGTATAAAAGTTCTTTATCTAGCCAGAAAGACATGTAAGGATCTTAATGTAAATCAGTCAGGCTCAGCACAATCCAGGTTTTTGGCTGTTGTTGATGACATTGCTGTGCATGATGGAAAGACTTCAATCGAAAGTATTTCAGTTAGAAAATATCTCCAATAGGTTGTTTTGGGGTTTTTTTGTTTGTTTGTTTGGTTTTTTTTAAAAAAAAAAAAAAAAGAGCAGCACTGTCAAGTATTTTCAAGTGAAAACTCAAGGTCAGACTGACAAAACAAGCTGGTTTAGATCTTGCAGTGTTTGTTACTCAGACATCATTTACACTGAGGAAGTTGTTGTCTAATGTCATATTACTTACTAAGTGCCAGCCACCAGCTTAGCATTGTTAAAGACACAATATGAAGAGAACCAGAACCCTAAGTAGATTACTACCTTGTAGGTATAGACAAGCTATATTTAACTATGATAATATTAATGTATTTTAAAGCTACAGCAATCCATTTACAAATAATACTAGGAGCATTATGAGATGAGAAGTAGGACAAGAGGCAATGAGGGTGACTGGCCACTACCTAGAGGTGATTTGCACAAAATCAACAGCAAAAGCGCATTTCAAGGTGGCTGACATATTTAACATGTTTTTCCATTTCTTACAGCTTTCCCATACCATGTAAGAATTATTCTGTTCAGATAACACATTCACCATGATGTTTCCTAAGATAACTGAGAGAAGTTTATTTTGTCTATTCCCAAGAATTTGACTTAAATAGATCTGAATTTTTATTCAATACTCATTTGCATATAGGCAAAAATACTAATTCATGCTAAATGCTCACCATCAGAAAACTGCATGCTGGGGAAACCCACAAGATAAAGAAAGTAAATAAAGGAGGAAGAAAATATTGCAAGTCTTTCATCTACTAAAACTGGCATAATTTACAATTATTCCACACCTCCTAGATTCTATACGTTAATAGAATTACTTGATTTTTATTAATTACCAGCATAGCTGTTTATATGCTATATAGGCCATCCAGCTGAATCTTAACAGTAAATGCACATAAAAGCCAACATATGCACACCACAAGCACACACAGTGGCTGACTCTCCTGTTTATCTAACCTTCAAAACAATAGCTCAGAGGTCTTCCGAGTTACTCTTATTAAAAATTAAGGAGAGGAAAACAAAGATCTACTTTGGATTCACACCTTCAAAATTCATCACAATTTCCTAGTGTGAAAACTGAAGAGATAACCATTTTCCCTTCTCCATCCTCAACCCAAGGGTTATGAGGTATAATTATCAGGGCAGAAACTCGGAGTAATTTGGAATCATCAATGTAGACAAACTTTGCAATCTTCACCAGTGAAGGATGTGCCTTTGTATGGCACATGCCATTTTAAGACTGGTTTCTGTGTTATTTTTCTATTAATTAGCTGCAATTCAGATATTGCATCTGTCTGCATCTTGCAATCTGTCTTTTATTCAACTCTTATTTATAAGGGTTAAATTTCCATTATCTCTCAACTTTTCTCTGGCCCATGATGCTACCCAAGAAAATCAGCTTAACCACCTTATCCCTGTATACAAGGGGCAGATCTTGCAGATAGCCTGAATAACTTACTTTCCCAAGCCACTAGGTCTGATGTACTGCTCGCTTTCACGGGCTATATTTCTCCTCCCACACACAATGACTGTGTTTTTCAAAAAGGAATTTTGTTCTTCAAGATACCATTCTACCCTCCATCATCCCACAAATCCTTCAGAGAGCACACAATACATCAACTTCACTCCCTCTTGTGGGCAGATCTGTAGGCCAAGGAATAGAAAAGATGCAAAAATCTGGTGTTTCTTTGCAACAGAGTGCTGAGTTCACAAGATCCAGAGAGGCAGATTACAAAATTTCTTAGATTCACATTTCTTAGACTTACAATTTAAATCTATATGGAAATGCATCCATTTATGCTTCATTGATATATTAAGGAAAGCTGCTCTGCAAATCCAAGAATTAGAAACTTCTGTAAATTAAACTTGAGCTTCTGAAGCCCAATTCTGAGGCAGAAAAGGGAATCCTATAATCAGCCACATGTGGCCCTGAACACTGTGCTGTACATCTACCCTCTAGGCAACAGTTCTAAAACTGGAATGCATTCCCCCTTTCCCCAAGTTTTTCCTCTTCCTTTTCCAACTCACCCTGCATACCTGCAACACAGCACATCTTAGGGCTCTGGCTAAGCATGGAAAAGATTAACTGAGATCACACATCTTGCCTCTCTTTTCAGTCATTTTTCTTTGGGAGCCGCCTTGGCATCACAGACAAACCAGCTGTTATGATTTCTTGGGCTAAGAGCAGTATGTGAACTACCATCCTTTCTCAAGAACTACTCATGCCTCACCTCCACACTGTCCAGACTGAGAACATCCTCCTACTCTTTTAATGCCTCTCACTCCCCTACAACCAACAAACAAGAATAGGCCAAAGAGGTTTTTATCTGGAAAGTACGATTAGATCATTTAATCTATTCCCTGTATACTGCAAGGCATGATATTTCGTCCAGACAATTTTAAAGACACTAAACTGAAGCTACTTTATGCTCAATAAGGCTAAACTGCGTGCACAAAGATGGAAAAATTAAGAATACATTTCTATCACCTTCATTCCAGCTACTCATTTATATCCCTGTATTTCCTTCACATTTCCAAACAGCTGTTTGTGGAGTCATGGAATAAGTGAGATGGTGGGATGATTCACATAAAAATAAACTTGGATTAAGCTGTAACAATAAGGAAGTATGTAATGTCACATCAGAAAATTCTAGAAAGCAAACCATATAGAACTTAACACATAAAACAATAAAAAAAAGATTACTGCCAATCTGATACAAAAGAAAATTCCTTCTTGGCTTCACTTGCAGTGATCAGCATTTCAAATAAGACAGGCATCTAACAAAAGTACCACTTGTTTTTCCCCTCTGGAGACCATTCTGTGTGCTTCAGCGCAATCAAAAAACCTAACTTTTCTTTCAGAGCAATTTAGACTGCATTTCACTTGCAAGTAGTTAGCACTTCTTTCTGTCTCCATGTTCATTTGTGCTTCAGTCGAATCCTGAGCTCCTTACACATTGAGAGTGCTGCCTCAAAAAAGTGTGAGTGGGAGAAGAATGCTCTAGTCCCCTGCAGGGAACTGCCCAAAGGACCTTCATGTTTGATAGCGCTTATTACAAAATCCATATGTCTCATTAGCCAATACTAGAAGAAATCATGACCAGCATTTCTCTGACATATGTCATAATATTTTTCCAGAAAACTGAATGAAAATCTGTGTTAAATGCACAGCACATAAATCATAGAATCATAAAATATCTTGAGTTGGAAGGCACCCATAAGGATCATTGAGTACAACTCCTGGCTCCTTGCAGGACAACCTAAACTAAACCATGTGACTAAAAGCATCATTCAGACACTTCTTAAACTCTGACAGGCTTGGTGACATGACCACTTCCCTGAGGAGGTTGTTCCAGTGATAAACCCCATTCTCAGTGAAAAACCTTTTCCTAAAGTCCAGCCTGAACTTCCCCTGATGCAGCTTCAAACAATTATGAAATAATTACCATTATTATAAATAAATTATCATATAATTATATATAATAAATACATTATTATAGGTAAGACGCCGAGCAAATTCACTATCTTTT